TCCCATAAACTCTAACCTGAGAAACTCCTGTTTTCTTTTGAGGCGGAATCTGGCTCTGCTGCCCAGGCTGGAGTGCAGTGGCATGATCTTGGCTCACTGAAAACCTCTGTCTCCTGGGTTCAAGCAATTCTCACGCCTCAGCCTCCTGAGTAGCTGAAATTATCGGCATGTGCTACCATGCCTGGCTAATTTTTGTATTTTTAGTAGAGATGGGGTTTCACCATGTTCGCCAGGCTGGCCTCAAACTGCTGACCTCAAGTGATCCACCTGCCTCGGCCTCCCACAGTGCTGGGATTACAAGCGTGAGGCACCTCACCCGGCCTAACCTGAGCAACTGCTATTCCATATGCAGGTTCTAGCTCAAGATACCAAATCCTCCATGAACCTCCCTCTGAGGCCAGTGTTGAATGAGGCACCTCATGTCTCTCCTAAAAAGTTCCAAATGAGACCTATCTTAGAATATTGTAATCATCCATCCCCTTATTTATAAACTCTCTGGGAGACTAGAGGCCCCACAGGCAAGGGATTGTGCCCGCCAAGTTGGATGTCTTAGCCCTAGTGGTGCATATAGTAACTGGCATGAGTACATACTCAAAAAATAGTATCAATCAGTCCATCAAAACTCAAAGTTAAATAGATGCTTGAGGTGATGGATGCCCCATTTACCCTGATGTGATTATTATACATTTTGTATGCTTGTATCAAAATACATACACTCCATAAAAATATATACCTACTATGTAATCCTCAAAATTAAAAAATATGTAAAGTTAAAACAATGTTACCAGATGTTATAAAGTCTGAGTATTTATCATTATAAGGCTGAAATCACAGAAACTCACAAAATAATTCAATCATATGAGGAAAATTATCTGGAAAATGTCAATTTGGGTTTGCTGAAATACTTCAAAATACCAAAAAGAATAAAATTCAGATGGCTACGTTTTTTCCTCCTGTTCCCAAAGATACACACCAATTATTTTAAAGGGTAGGGGAAAACATAACACAACAATTTAAAAGTTACTAACAATTCCATATTCTTATCCTAGAAATCTAACACAATTGTGGGTTAAAAACAAAGATTTCTGGAGGAAACAGAACTATAGCCTTATTTAAAAGAAACAGAGGCTGGGCACAGTAGCTCACATCTGTAGTCTCAGCATTTTGAGAGGTCAAAGCAGACAGGAGTTTGAGATCAGCCTGGCCAACATGGCAAAATCCTGTCTCTATGAAAAATACAAAAATTAGCCGGGCCTCATGGCAGGTGTTTGTAGTCCCAGATGCTCAGGAGGCTGAGGCATGAGAATCACTTGAACCTAGGAGACAGAGGCTGCAGTTAGCCAAGATTGCACCATTGCACTCCAGCCTGGGTGACAGAGCAAAACCCTGTCTCAAAAATTTTTTTAAAAAAAGAAAGAAGTATAGTATTTAAGCAAATTTTTATGCCATATCTTGTTCTAAAATGAACTTAAACGAGATCATGAAAACACACACAAACAGAATTTTTAAAAATAAAATGTAAAATAAGTAAAGAGTTCTCAATAGGAAAAAAAAACACAAGAGTAGAAACTAAATCTAGACATGAGGTTGGGATACAAAATATATGGTCCTGTATATTTGCAAGAGATGGGTCTAGGATGCAGCTCTGCCCTTGCTGATGGTCTATCTCATTCCCTGGGTCATGTGAATTCTGATATCCTTGTATTACCACCCCTCATAAACAATGTATTTCCACCCCACAGATATGTGTATTAGTTTTCATGCTGCTGATAAAGACATACCTGAGACTGGGTAATTTATAAAGAAAAAGAGGTTTAATGGACTCACAGTTGCACGTGGCCAGGGAGGCCTCACAATCATGGCAGAAGGAAAAGGCACATCTTACACCATGGCAGGCAAGAGAGAATAAGAGCCAAGCAAAAGGAGTTTACCCTTATAAAACCATCATATCTCATGAGACTATTCACTACCATGAGAACAGTATGAGGGAAACCACTCCCACTATTTAATTATCTCCCATGGGTCACTCCCACAACATGTGGGAATTATGGGAGCTACAATTCAAGATGAGATTTGGGTGGGGACACAGCCAAATCATATCAATATGAGACTTTCCAGGTATTCTTTCAGTATCATCTTCCCTCTGATACTTCTAAAGTCTCATGCTCACTGTTTTTATCATTTTTCAACTTTTCTATTTAGGACTTTTTCTTTTAATAAGTATCCTCAGCTAACACCCTATAGGATCACCATATTTCCTTTTTAGTGACAAGCTCATAGCCTACATATACCTACAGTGTAGCCCAATACCCCAAGGTGGCTGAACCTGTCACAGACACTGTATTACCCAAACATCCTTTTTATAAGTATATTTTCCCAGGTCCAAAGAGTTCTATATATTTAAAATTGTATTGTGATTTACAACCCGACCCTAACCTTTTTTTTTTTTTAAGAGACAGGGTCTCTGTCATCTAGACTGGAGCACAGTAGTGTGATCACAGCTCACTGCAGCCTTCACCTCCCAGGCTTATGCGATCCTCCCACATCAGCCTCTTGGGTAGCTAGGACTACAGGCATGCACCACTACGCGTGGCTAATTTTTAATTTTTTTTTTTTTTTTTTTTTTTTTTGGAGAGAGAGGGTCTTGCCATACTGCCCATGCTGTTCTTGAACTCCTGGCCTGGGATTACAGGTGTGAACCACTGCACCCAGCCAATTTAAAAAAAACACACACACAAACAAAAGATAACAACTATGAAAATTCTGTGCTAGAATAAAATCAAGTTTTGTGTTCACCCAATTCTAAATCACATCCTAACAGCTTCAACTGCAGGCAGAAGAGCATAACACCAAAGCAATTTTGATTCACTCTACCACAAATCTTTTCAAGCAAATTCTTTCAGTTCTACCAAGATTTACGTACAAAGGCTGAAGGCTCCTATCCTTCAAGATTAAATAGACGTGCTTGAAATACAGCTAAGTGGCTTGTTCCAGCTGTTTAAGCAGGAACAAACTGTTCCAGCAGTCCCAGGAGCCTGCCTCCTGAAGGTATTGTAGACTTTACATACTTGAAAACTAATAGAATGGGTCAAAGGACACATTTGAGGTCTGTGTCTGATAAAAGTAGGGGGTGGAACGAACTACTAAGGTATTGAGAGTAAACTAGAGATATGTAATAAAACTAATTTTGAAAATACATTTTATAGCAATTACTGGAAAACATCTGGAATAGTATAAACATTTGGAATAGTATATGTGTTATCGTGCTATCTAAATACTAGCAACATGAGTTTATTTGCTCCACTGTTTTTACGAAATCAGGTATCAGTACCCTCCAGTATGCTTTCTAACTACTTAGTATTGACATAGACTTTGAAAAACAGCCTCAGCTTAAACTCAAGCCAGTGTAACTAAGAATTTGTTTTATACATTAGTTTCATTCTTTTAATAGAAATAACAACCATCTCTGCAGTTCTTTTTTGGTCCTTAGCATGCTACAATAATTATCTTTTTCCTTAATACTTAATAATGTCTACTTAAATTTGCCTAACCACATTATGTAAGTATCAAAAAACTTAGATCTTTGCTATTTTATTTGAAACTCACAAACAACCTTGTAAACAGATGTTATAACTTTCATTTATAGGTAAGGAAACTGACATAGTAGCTATGTTGTAAATACATACAAACGAATACACATCCATTGTTTGGAGGCTTGCTGATTTAACGATGCCACCACAAATATATTTTATTCCTTCTATCAAGAGGTCAACTCAATCTAAATAAACCCATAGCTATCCAACTTCTATACATTCAGCATAAAAATATTTTTATGATTGTATTACCGAGTCATAAACGTTATCAGTTATAATCCCAAGACCATGCCTAATAAACTCCCAGAGGGCAACTATTATTTAGAGCATAAGGATGCCTTGGAAATTACATTGTTATGAAAAAGAAAGAAATTAACAAATAAATGTAATATTTAAGGGTATTGCTAGGGAAATGCCACATATCACACTTCTACTTCATAAGAATTGTCACTCCTGGAAGTACACAAATTTCAGCAAATTTGACAAGAAAAAAATATATAGGAATTCTGTTCTGTAAAGCAACTGCAACTCAGAAAGTTGCTCATTTTCAAATATTCTATATCAATTAAAAAACTCTTATCATGACATGCAACCATAACAAATTTAGCTGAATTAAATATAGGTCCAGTTATCATTGTAAGAAGGTTTCTACCTCCTTACAAACTCCAGAAAGACTCTAAATTTCTTTCAGCTTGAGTTAGACGAGAGAAAATGCAATTCATATTTCCAGAAGCACAAGTGGCATATTTTCCAGTAAGCTTCTTGTTCTCATTTTACTATTTTAAGAGTTCTGATCACTCCCAATGTTGCTGTATGGCCAGACCCGATTTCTGCTGGCTGATCATTTTCATGGCATGACGCTTTACTAAAACTGTCTCCAAAAACTGTTTTTATTCGCATTCAGCTTCAGTGTATTTATATACAAAATACCACTTCAATGGAGTTCTGCCAATAAAAGAAACAGCTTACTAGAATTTCAGTTGACTTTGTTAAAGGAAATTATTTTAAATTAATGTGGCTACTGAACTGCTGCCATCCTTGACCTCAGAAAATAGATTCCTTCTAATTTTTGCTGTGAACATTTATTTAAGTTAAATTCCGGCTCATGAATGTTGACCGTAAAAGAGTCTAAACCTTCCTGCTACTATTTCATATTCTTTCTCTAAACAAGGGGGTGACCACATGGTTGCTACATTAGTATACAGAGCCAGCTCACCACCATTAAGTGAAATCATCTATGTATTTTTGGTAGAATCTTTAACAACTTCCACGCCTGCCCGTCAGTGAATGGAACAAGGCTGTTTTGTTTTCAGAGAGCAACAATTTGATCTCTGGTTTACTTGATGGTGCCCCAAATATTTTTCCATATGCTTTTTGCAAAGAGAATCTGACATCAGCATGGTTTACCTTTACCAATGAATGCAGGCTTTTTTCACCAAACACATCCCAGAGGAAAGTCAGGTCTTCCTGGCTATCCACATGTGGTTGCAGCTGGGCTGGCAGAGCAGCCAACAGCTCATACAGACCTATAAAATGAAAATAAAACACAAAGCGTAATCTTAGAGTGATCTCATTAATTTCGCCTAAGGTGTGTGTAAATGACAGCTGGAACATGCCGATTTTACTGGATTTGTATTCTGGGCCATCAAGCTAAACACTTCAGTAAAGAACCAAAGGGAAATTTTCTGGCTTTTAAATTCCAACACAGTGGTATGTATTAACAGACTCATTTTTACCTCTCACGCTTGTCAACATTCTACAGCCATCCAAGTTTACATAACCCGAGACAGAAATGTGTACAGGTTTTCAGAAAAAAAGAATAAAACGCATACATTCCTTTCCTTAATCGTTATTACATTTCCCTCAATATGAGCCAAAGAGTGAAATGAGTCATGAATAGGAAAAACTTCCTTAGAAGAGCAGAAAATTGATAGGGTAGCCCATTAAAAGGGTTTTGTAGTGTCCAAATAGTTCCTAATAACATATAGTTTCAAAAATACTTGCATTATCTAACATCCAAAAGAAAGTTCCACAAAGTATGGGAAAAGAAATCATACATGGTTCTGCATTACTATAGTCAGCTTTTTAAAAAAAAAAAAAAAAAAATGCTACGTAGAACTTAGTTTAAAATTGGGGGATGTAAAGTTTATGTAATACCCTCTGAAAGCATTAAAGTAACAGATGCGGGTTACTCGTGGCATTCTCACTAGACACTTCCTAGGGACAGACAGTAGTTCAGTGTTCCACGGTAGCATGCTACATAAACCATCCATCTCCATCACAGCCCGTCACACTCCTGTCCAAGAAATGTTGCAACAGTGCTTGCCCAAGACTCTTTAGGGAGGTGACCTGGCAGGAGTCAGTATCAACTCATAGCACATGTTTCATTTTCCAGTGGGATTACATGAGGTAAAAAGGACAAAATTCCTTTTATTTCTTGTCTGCTGTCTACAAAAACACCAAGACCTCCTGGGACCTACAACACATGGAACTGTTGTTATTTTTGGTCTGAATAAGTGCTGCTGTTCATCACAGGGACAGCTTTACAAGAGATTGAACTAGCAAAGAATAGTAAATTATGGACTGGTGATTAGTATATATGTTATCTTCTCGAACCATGTTAATATTCTGCTAATCAGTGATAACTCACAACCAAAGGCATTAGGTACCACATTGAAAGTTAAGAGATGTAACTTGGGATATCTTATTAAATTCAAACATTTCTGGGGCCTTATTTGGCAACAAAAAAAAAAAAAAAAAACTTATCTCAATTACATTCTGAAGTGTTCTTGATGTTTTACATCTATTCCCTTAAAAATCTGGCATTCTGCCTATACCAGCTCTTATTTACAATTTAGTAAAATTATGTAAGTTATCTGAACCTAACTAAATCTATAATAATGTAGGTCTCATTATATACATACGAAATTAATCAACAATGGTCAAGATCAGTGGTTAAAGTTGAAAGTCAAAATGTGAAATTATGTAAAAAGAGGGTTGAATTTATTATTTTATTATTGATTTGGGGAGGTGTAAAAATAGTTACCCATTCCTTGGTAATGTGACTTGCAGTTTAATTAAGGAGACTAATTCAACTGTGATATAATTTACATGCTGAAAGTTGTCAGGAGGATTAAATGACTCAATATCTTAGAACAGTCCCTGTCCCATGAAAAGTACTCAATATGTTTCATATGAAACTCGGTAAGTGTCAGCCATTGTCATTATTATTGCTGTTATTCGTCATATTCTTACTGAAAAGGCAAAAGTATAGATCAAACAGAGCTAGATTCAAACCCAAAGTTTATACTTAGAGCATTTCATATAACTTATCTGAGCCTGTTTCCCTCATGTGTTTAAAAAGAAATGGTAACCTACATGTGTGGTTGCATAGCATGGCCAGGTGCAGTGGCTCACACCTGTAATTCCAGCACTTTAGGAGACTGGGGTGGCTGGATCACTTGAGGTCAGGAGTTCGAGACCAGCCTGGCCAACATGGTGAAACCCGGTCTCTACTAAAAATACAAAAATGAGCCTAGTGCAGTGGCGGGAGCCTGTAATCCTAGCAACTCAGGAGACTGAGGCAGGATAATCACTTGAACCTGCGAGGCAGAGGTTGGAGTGCGCCGAGATAGTGCCATTGCACTCCAACCTGGGCAACAGAGCAAAACTCCATCTCAAAATAAAAAGGTTGGGCGCAGTGGCTCACCACACCTATGATCCCAGCACTTTGGAAGGCGAAAGCGGGCAGATCACAAGGTCAGGAGATCAAGACCATCCTACCTAACACGGTGAAACCCTGTCTCTACTAAAAATACAAAAATCACCCCAGTGTGGTGGCAAACGTCTATAATCCCAGCTACTGGGAACGCTGAGACAGGAGAATCGCTTGAACCCAGGAGGCGGAGGTTACACCTTTGCACTCCAGCCTGGACAACAGCAAAACTTCATCTCAAAACAAAACAAATTGCATAGCACTAAATACACAAACACATGGAGAAACACACAAAAGAGTGCAGATAAAATGTGAAAACTGAATAAGATCAAAGGACTGTACCAATAACAATTTCCTAGTTGCAATACTCTATTATAATTATGCAAGATGCTACCATTGGAAGAAAGTGGGTGAGGGGTCCATGGGATCACAACATGAATCTACAATTATCTCAAAATAAAATGCTAATACGAAAAAAGAAACTATGGCAAATATGGTTGTTGTAAGAATTTGATGGAGCAATGCATATGGCAGCATTTAGCCCTGTGGATGGCACAGAGTAGGCACTCCGTTGCTTAACATGTCTTCTTCTAGAATGAAAATGTCATTTCAAATCAATGGTTCAAAGTCAAAACAATAGCTTAGCTGTATATTGCAACTGGATACAATATCATACTCAGAAATAAAACCACCCCAGTCTTTTACATATGGAAAGTGTTAACTTTACCCAAGTACTGCTTACATTTTGTAGGAATAAGCCATATTATATTTAAGTTTTTATTTAAAAAAGTCCTGTTAGCAGAAGCTCATAAACCAGAGTTTTCTGGTTTTTACTAGTTTTATGCAATCCCAACTAATATCCCACCATAGTTTGGCACTCTAGTGACAACAGCAGTCCCTTCCCTTCAACTACCACATCTGGTAACCATGACCAAAGGCAGAAAAGACAGGACAGTGCCAACCAGAAATTAAAGACAATTAAAGGAGTTACCAGGCCAGAGCTGTGTGCAGTCTCCATGAAGATAAGTAATACAGACAACTACTTCCACTCAAATGAATTGTAAGGGCCCTAGAAACCATCTTGGCCATGCATAAAATGGGGCCTGTGTTTTAACATGCTTTTTAAAATACTCCTATATTCAGTTCCTAAAGTTCTAATGGTGAAGAATTTTGTGAAATCCAAATGGCTTGGCTCCTGGAGAGTCAAAGGGCAAATGATGAGAGTTTAGATAGCAAAGATATTTTTAAAGAAATTACCTAAATCTACTTAGTCTTTGAGCAAGAACTAAGACAATGAGATACTCTACACTCTGTAGTGATTCAAACTCATTGATTCCAATAAATATTTATGGTAGCTATGAATAAAGCACTCCTCAAGGCTCTAAAGATCTAAGACAAATCAATCGCAGATCCTGTCCTCAGGATTTTGCAGTGCAGTAGACAAGCACAGGCAGGTCTATTAGTAAGTCCAGGACAGGGTTAGAGTGTTGTGGCAATAGCAAGGGAAGTGGTCAATTCCTGCAAAAGAGGAAGAAGACATCAGGAAAGTCTTCAGAAAAGAAGCAACACTTGAGTTAGGTCCTTGCTATGGTTTGAATGTATCCCCTAAAAAGCATGTATCAGAAACTTAAACCCCAATGCAAGAGTGTTGGGAAGTGAAGGCCAATGAAAGGTGATTAAGGTATGAGGGCTAGGCCCTCATGGATATATTAATGCCATTATTGTAGGAGTGGGTTCATTATCTTGGGAATGGGTTTGTTATATGAAAGTGAGTCAGTCTTCTACTCCCTCTCCTTGCCCTTCTGCCATGGATGACACAGCAAGAAGGCCCTCACCAGATGCTGGTTCCTTGATCTTGGACTTCCCAGCCTCTAGAACTGTGAGCCAATAAAATTCTGTACATTACAAATTGCCTAGTCTGTGGTATTCTGTTATAGCAGTACAAAACTGACTAAGACCCTTTTTAAAGGCAAAGTTCCTAAGAATCAACATTTACTGACTTCTTATATTCAGAGTACTATGCTTGTCACTGGATATACAACTTATAGAATATATGACTATCTCTGCCCCCAGAGACCTTATAATCTTAGATGACACAGAATATGTACCAACATAAAGCAATCCTAAATATAAGGCTGTCTTATTTGCCTAAGATCCAAAATACATTTTCTCCCCAATAAATACATGAACATTTAGTGTGACAATGAAACACATATCTAATTATTAACATCTGTTTATGTCTAATTAATAATTCAAACATCTAATTAATTTTTACAGATGTTGATAAAATGCTCACCCCTGCTTCTAAAATGTAAATTACAGTTTAGTTAGGAACACATTACCTATGAGGCAAAATAATATATCTTAAGCCCCACTTGCATATTATGAAGTTTCATAATATGAAAGTTTCGTATTAACATGAAACTGTCTTATTTAAATTATTTATAATGACTTTATAAATAATTTAGATTTCAGAGTTAAAATACATTATTTTCATTTCTAAATAAGCTGTTTGAGATGCAGCATATTTTTGATTATTTGTGAGATGCTGTCAGGGGAAATCTGAATGAAGCTGATTGGTCTTTCATTTGCTCTGTAACTGCATAGTTTTTATCTCTACAACAGAACCACTAAGCTACTCTTTAAGTATCTTTAACATTTGCAAATATGAGGTCACAACCTTTCCCTAAGGAATAATAATTAAATCTGATGTAAACTTCTTTGCAACCTTCTTTTCCTCCCATCATCTTGAATAGTGTCCTTTAAAAAAAAAAAAAAAAATCTGTCTGGTGGCCTCTAAAACCATGACCA